TGTGAACAAAAAGTTAAGGCAGAAAAAAAACGTACGCCACTGAAAAAACTAGTCTCATGTTCGGAAAGCTGCATACGGAAGTGGTGAAATATGGAGTTTTTTTAAAAATTTAAAGACTACTGTGCCAATTAACAAAGTAATATTTATTTGGACAACGGTGAGCGAAAGCGAAAAGCCCATAATACATTTTTTAAAAAGAATTATTTACCGGCAAACACCTGATTTGCTCCTGGCATCTACAGCAGTGCTGCCAGGTTAAGGAAATTTAATTTATTTATTTATTTTATTCATTTATAATTTAATTCGCTTTATTTAGTTGTTATTACTTTCAAATACTCACTTCATGATAAACGGTTTCTTTAAAAATATATCCAAGTGTAAGTCAGTTATGCACCAAGTTCCGTGATTGCTCCTCCTTCCGCCATCTCTTTCGAATATCTGAGGGAATACTCTATTTATCTTTCTCACTCCTGATTCCGAGCAACACGCGTGGTATCGTATCATTGTCCTGTTACTTCGCAGAACAGCTTTTATATTAGTGGAGGGATGACCATATTGGTGACAGGTAGAGACCTGAGTCGCGGTTAAGATTGTTAGATTGCTTATAGATTTCTATAGACTCTCGGAACTGGTAAATCTGGTTTTGACGTTATATTTCTTTAGAACTTTTAATATGTGGTCAGCGACGTTTTCAATATAAGAAAGGACAACAGTGGCAAGTGTGGGATTGCTTTCGGTTTCGTTGCTATTGTAAGATTGGGGTGAAGTGTATTGTGTGATGCAACGCTGGAAATTATTAGAGAGAAGAGTAGAGGTAAGGTGTTTTAATTCTGGGTCCAATGACCCGGGCTGAGATAGTTTTGGTTAGTTCTTGGAGCACCGTACTGTCCTTGGAGCCCCCGTACCCCCTTTAACAGCTGTTTTGGAAGCATATTGGATCATATAGATTGGATAGATGGATAGATTTTCACGAGGCGTAAGCTGTACTGTTCGGAAATAAACGATGTGACGTCCAATTTGATGTCAGCGTTTTGCGAGATATTATTATTATTTACCTACGTTTTGTTACCCTCGGTCATTTAATCGATAGTTTTTGCTAAACCAAAAAAAAAACACTCCGAAAATTTGTGTACGAATACTCTGATAATTTATATATAATTATTTTCCCGAAGTTGACTTACTTGTAATACTGAATTCGATCGTTGTCGAGTTACCAATAGTTATTTACATTACATTAACTTCCATATTTTTTCATGTAGAACCCAATATATTTAAACAGTATCCAAGATGGACAATTAAACATATTTCGGCTGAAATTGAACATGTAAATGTGTAAAATATATGGGTCCAAACTTTTAGAATAATTATTGAACTTTATTTATGCGAAATGTCCCGTTAAACATCCCAGAAAACTTTTCCAATTTGCGACGATTTTCAAACGAAAAACCGGAAAAAACTCTGAACCAGTTTTGATATGAAGCTCGTGCCGAGCTTTTTTAAAAGGGTTTCTCTTTCGATAAGAACGTTGTACGCTAAAATTTCTACGAACAAGAAAAGCTATTTCTATTCTATTTCTGTTACATTCACTTGTGTGCAAACGTCTAAAAGCGTTCGTTTGTGTGCAAATTTTAAGGTAGCAAAACGCGCCTCACGCACAGCCGAGCAAAACAAACTGCCTCCGTTTCTCCGACGTATTACAAATCGGACCGTAAGGAACTAGGGGGAGAGAAAGAAATAAAATGAAGCAGATTGTGTTTTCGCTTTTCGATTAAGAGGCGCAAAAGCAAGGGCCGTCGTTATTTCCTGTATTGTAAGGAATAAAGACGCCCAATTTCACTGTGAAACGGAATAGTTCGTTTCTTACTAAAGACTTTTTCCACTGTATGGTTCTGGTATTATAGGAAACCACCCCGCAGTTGTCTAAGGTTCGGGATTCCAAATTTACGTAAAAAAAAATTAAGCTAAATTGATGGAATCTAATTTTTCGATAGGACAGAAACGATCAGCGTCAATTTTTTTTTGTGTCGCTCTATATACCAGCAGAAAAGGAGTATTTTTTTACACTTGAAAACTAAAATTGGGATTTTTTTAATGGATCCATGAAATTGGTTAGTAGTTAGTGCTTAGGTCTATAAAAAACATATACTAAGTATTTTTTTTAATGCGTTAGCCACGGGAATATCTTATTAAATCATAAGTTATTCCTAGATATTTACTACTGCCAACTCTTTTCAGACTCACACCACTAGTCTCTATAGTTTCCGAACGAGACAAAAACAGACTTGTCGGTGTTAAGTACTGTTAGCTTATTTTGATAGGGCCAGGACTATATAATATCCGAGTTGACGACATGGCTGTTGAAAGTTTGGCCCATGATTTTGCTTTCATTGGTACTGCAGTATCATCCACATATGCTAATAGGTATCTTGCAAAACCTATAAATTATTTATATATAAAATGAACAGTATTGGTCCAAGTATTGAGCCCTGAGGCACTTGATTGGCAATGATTTAGAATTAAATCCCAAACAAGTAAAAGTGCAAAATAAAGGGTGTCCCGTTGAGTTTTTTTTATAGTTCTTTATAATACTATATAATATGTTTTCGCTATAGATAGGTCAAAGTATTAAATATTCATAATCGATAATAAAAATTCTCAATTTTAGTTTTCAAGGGTAGAAAAACACATTTTTCCGCAAAAGAAATACGAGGCAGAAATGAAAATAACAATTACGAAATGTCACGACTGTTTAACAACAAAGGCCTACCCATTTCCTACTCATAAAAAAAATAAGGATATACACTTTGCATTTGAAATATCTCTTTGTACTATATATTTCTGAAAAGCTCATGACAAGTCCGATAAAATTAGTAGAATACCTACCTAACAAAACTCAAGTACACTGACCACGCCATATGACCCTACGTATCCTATCCAGACCAGTTGTTACCTTTTCCAGGTTAAAAATCCAACAGCCAGAAATTTGCAGCTATCAACAGCAGGAGTGAATAAGTACCCGCAGGCAATCAGTACGCAATGAGACCTTCGAGAAGTATTCTTCTAAATTTTTTAACTTTTTTTTTTTGGACTGAAATAAATTCTAGAAGTAGAAAATACTGGAGAACCGGGGCTTCAACTTTTACCCGATAATTGCAGCTATCAACAGCAGGAGTGAATAAGTGTCCACAAGTAATCAGTACGCAATGAGACCTTCGAGAAGTATTCTTCTAAATTTTTTAACATTTTTTTTTGGACTGAAATAAATTCTAGAACTAGAAAATACTGGAGAACCGCGGCTTCAACTTTTACCTTTTAGCTATCAACAGTAGGAGTGAATAAGTGTCCACAAGTAATCAGTACGCAATGAGACCTTCGAGAAGTATTCTTCTAAATTTTTTAACATTTTTTTTTGGACTGAAATAAATTCTAGGACCAGAAAATACTGGAGAACCGCGGCTTCAACTTTTACCCGATAATTGCAGCTATCAACAGCAGGAGTGAATAAGTGTCCACAAGTAATCAGTACGCAATGAGACCTTCGAGAAGTATTCTTCTAAATTTTTTAACATTTTTTTTTGGACTGAAATAAATTCTAGAACTATGAAATACTGGAGAACCGCGGCTTCAACTTTTACCTTTTAGCTATCAACAGTAGGAGTGAATAAGTGTCCACAAGTAATCAGTACGCAATGAGTCCTTCGAGAAGTATTCTTCTAAATTTTTTAACATTTTTTTTTTGGACTGAAATAAATTCTAGAACTAGAAAATACTGGAGAACCGCGGCTTCAACTTTTACCCGATAATTGCAGCTATCAACAGCAGGAGTGAATAAGTGTCTACAAGTAATCAGTACGCAATGAGACCTTCGAGAAGTATTCTTCTAAATTTTTTAACATTTTTTTTTTGGACTGAAATAAATTCTAGAACTAGAAAATACTGGAGAACCGCGGCTTCAACTTTTACCCGATAATTGCAGCTATCAACAGCAGGAGTGAATAAGTGTCCACAAGTAATCAGTACGCAATGAGACCTTCGAGAAGTATTCTTCTAAATTTTTTAACATTTTTTTTGGACTGAAATAAATTCTAGGACCAGAAAATACTGGAGAACCGGGGCTTCAACTTTTACCCGATAATTGCAGCTATCAACAGCAGGAGTGAATAAGTGTCCACAAGTAATCAGTACGCAATGAGACCTTCGAGAAGTATTCTTCTAAATTTTGTAACATTTTTTTTTTTGGACTGAAATAAATTCTAGAACTAGAAAATACTGGAGAACCGCGGCTTCAACTTTTACCCGATAATTGCAGCTATCAACAGCAGGAGTGAATAAGTGTCCACAAGTAATCAGTACGCAATGAGACCTTCGAGAAGTATTCTTCTAAATTTTTTAACATTTTTTTTGGACTGAAATAAATTCTAGGACCAGAAAATACTGGAGAACCGGGGCTTCAACTTTTACCCGATAATTGCAGCTATCAACAGCAGGAGTGAATAAGTGTCCACAAGTAATCAGTACGCAATGAGACCTTCGAGAAGTATTCTTCTAAATTTTGTAACATTTTTTTGGGCTTTAAATAAATTCCAGAACTATGAAATACTGGAGAACCGGGGCTTCAACTATTACCAGATAATTGCAGCTATCAACAGCAGGAGTGAATAAGTACCCGCAAGTAATCAGTACGCAAAAAGACCGTAGAGAAGTATTCTTCTTAAATTTTTAACATTTTTTTTTGACTTCAAATACATTCTTGAACTAGAAAATCCTGGAGAACCGGGGCTTCAACTTTTACCCGAAACTATTTTTTTACTTATATATGTGTGTGTGTGTTGATTACGAGCAAAAAACTGAAATATCCTGAAAATTGTTTTCGGTCTAAGTATTTATTTGAATAGTGCCTTGCAACAGGATGAAACCGCAAAAAAAAAATCAATTCTCTCGATACTTATTCTTTTTACAACAAAAATATATCTTGCATGCGAAAGAAAATGACCGCTTACCTTTTCACCGCTGTCCGATGGCAAATAAAACGTGAGGACCGTGAGAAACGAGATTCCCATACACGGGATGATAATATTGACCGTGTAGAACAACGTTTTTCGTCTCATAGTAATGTTGAAGGTGATGTCTAGGTACGGCTCGTCGCAGCAGGTGTAGAACTTTTCGTTCCTGACGGCTGGTACTTCCAAAATATCCCACTCTACCGACATGTAAAATTCGGAGAGATCGACTCCCACTTCTACGACGTTGCTACCCGCCTTTTCGTCCATGTGCCTCAAATCGACCTAAAACGTAACCAAGCTGTATCTGTGGCGACGAATCAGGTGGAAGTAAACAATGGCTATGTACAATAGGTATAATTTTATACGTTAAACGATCGAATTCGACGTCGAAATGGCCAGAGCGTAACCAATCGATCGAAAGTAAACTGAAATCGTCTAAACAGCGGTACAGGCAAAAATAATGAAAACTCGTTAAGTCGAACAACAAAACGTTAGTAGTAGCTTTTTGTTACTTCTGCGCCCCCAGAGGACTTGAACGATCAATACTTCCCAACGAGTCAGCTTCGATATAAACTTCCACGTGCGTACCGTTGTTGGGCGACTTCGGTTTAACAATTGAGAGCCATACAACTAGTAAAATGTGAAAAACAAACTCTTACAACACATGTCTACTCATTCTAATTCTGTTTAGCCTACAGAGTATTCACTATTCCATTTCCGTAAGACGTCCCCACATAGTGAATGGTCTGTACTTTATTTTTAAATATGCTTTTTAAATTAACAGTCCACGTAAAATTTAATTGCGTTTTCGTTAGGCAGTCACTGATTTAAATCTAAATTATAAAAAACATCTAACGTCGAATACATATTTACAATTCGAAATTTTGTACACAAAATTGGGCGAGATATGTTTGGTCGGCGCTGTTGGACATTTTGTGGAAGATAATAAACAATATCAGATGTCGTTGTTACTTTAGTCATTAAGTCGGATATCTAGTGTAGCATCTGTTACGTTAAATGGACTAAAAGCATCTGGAAACTTTGGGGTAGTAATGGCAAGGGATGGGAGGCAAGGAAGCATGTAAATTAAATTTTAATTAGGTGAAAAGAAACTCTAATTATAAAGAGTTTGCCGAAATTCTAGAAATGTTCATTTATTTTTAATGCAGTTATGCAATTTGTCGTGGCAAAACAAATATTTGCAACTGCTTGCTCACCGAAAGCATAAAAATAATCTTTAGCCTGAGAAACATCATGAAATTAACCAGAATGTTCGAAAGACATATCCTTACCATTGGGAAATAGTTTATATACGATTTGTTATAAGCAGGACTGTCGCAAATGTAAATTTGTTGGCCCGCGACAAACGTCCAGATCACTGATCCATGGGCACTCAGAAATATTTCTGAGTCATGAAGAATCTATATTCAATTCCCCACTACTACATTGTGAAAGTCTGTCTGCGCAAGTAGATAGAATTAATGACGTATATTTTCATTCGCTAAACCAAATACGCAGGGAAACAAAATGGGGAAAATGGAGTCGTAATCTGCCTTTACTAAATATACCGTCCCTACGTAATCCACTGCTCTTAAACTTCATTTTATTGGAATTGGCTCTCGATACCTACTTAACCCGCACTAAAATCAATATTAAGAACGCAGAAGGAAAAACCATGAAATATTTGTACCAGTTTTGAAAAAAAATAAATATCCAATTTGCGTTGATTCTTCCTTGGACCGCAAAGTAGCTGTGCCTTTGAATAAGGAGAATTGGGTTAACAAACCTTTGGTTTGAAGAGAAAAACTTTTACTTCTTTACAAGCTGGGGCTGATGAAGCAATTTGTGAAGGCTTTAGATGGAGATGGAAACTGTTTTGGGTACTTGTTACTTAAATTTCCTTAGAATAGCAATAAAAAACTAAAAAATTGTGGTGAAGAACAGGTAAAAAGATGCCATCAATACATTAGGACCATTTGAGGCAATACTAAAGGACGATGGGAGAACCACATGATAGTCGACTACCTATGGAGCACTTAGCGAGACTACCTTAGTAAACTCCACTCTAAAAAGTAGTATAAAAGGACATGCTAATTAACATTCTGATTCTTGTTTTTGATGTTTTTTTTTTGACTAGCAATAGTAATATAGCAAATACGACAAAATCTGAGGAGTGTTTTGGATTCTACAACCAAAGATTACTCAGGAACCTGTATTATCTATAGGTTCTATAAGACTCCGCATTCTGGCGGCGGCAAAAAACTACGAAATTCGCCGTATAATAAAATGAACTTTTTCATCGGCGTCACTTAATTTTTTACCGTTTTTGGATCCGGAATCTCGTACCTGCCCCTCCGCCGAAAAAACCGGCACACCACTCCGCTCCGTTACAATTGCCTTTTGTTAGATCGTCCCCCCGGCCGGCTTCAGGTTTTTATTTCCCGCCCGAGTTTATGAGCGACGTGAGAATTGAAGTCGTCGAAAAAACGGCCGGAGTTTTTGTCAATCAAAGTTATCTGCTCCCGAGAATTCCTGCTTTCGACGTCGGCTACTCATTACTCACATTGACGGCCGTTCATAAATATTAGAAGGGAGAATACTTATAAGCCCCCCTAAATATTTTTTGACAGCTCAATTGTACCACCTGTTAAAGTATATATTTATATATTTAATAATAATATTAAACGACTTTTATTTCAGATAATAGCATAACAAACTACTGAACCAGTGCGTGGCAGAGTAGAACAAAAAGAACAAAACCAAATTAAAAAAGAAATCGATGACGACGACCTATACCAGCTTCGGAAAAAAATCTCTACAGAAAATTCTGTAAATGCAATAATTCTTATTTTTTAAATTTAAAGAAACTTCCAAAGGCTACTGTAATACTATTTCGAAAAATTTGTGGTCCCCTTCTGCATTGCTGAGTGGAAAATTTGAAAAACTAACGTCAACACCGGTGAGACCGTCGCACCAACATTCTGAGACGGAAAAATTAGCGCTTGCAAAAGGTTGCAAATAGTCCAAATCTACAAGATCTACCTGATCTACCTGAGCGCATTGCCCTAAAGTCTTGAAAAACCAATCCCGACATTGTAATCCTAAAAGCCGATACGATGGTCACGAATACAAATCGTCAACTTAAAAAGAGCCTACGTCATCCATGAAACGCAACCGTAAATCTGTTATTAAGGCTTCTTCTCTATCAGACTCCGTGAAAAAGTGTGTCCTCGTGGCTACGTATTTCTTAAGACGGCTTCCAACATATTTCCTAGCAAAAAATGTAGCTTTTTTATTAAAACCCTTTACAGGGAAACCTGATAGTTTCATACTTAATTTGTTTCACTTCGTTGAACATTATCACCAATTATAGCGAATATATTTATGAAAACCGTTGAGAAGAGAGCTCTCGACATCTTCCACCTAAAACCTAAATTATGGAAACGCTACCTCGATGATTCTTTGTCAAGATTGCCTGGTAGATTTCTTTGACATTTAAACTCTATAAACCCTATCGTACTATTGAATTAGAACCTAATAATAACCTCCCACGTTGATGATACTTTTGGTCAAGAATCCCTACTGACATCATTTCATCCTTTGAAATATGCTTTTTAAATGTCCTTTAAATCTTATCTCCCTAGATTTTGTGGGGTTTAACTTAAGATTATGGCTTTTGGAGAGTTCACTCAAAGTTCGGAAATCGTGAAGAATAAATTTGTGTATCTTCGGCAAACGCTTGAATTTTACAAAAAGTTGATGATTTTAGAATGTCCGGGGTAAACAATAAGAAGTAACAGAGGTACTAAAATGCACCCCCGTGGCACTTGAGTACATTATTTGCTCTCTATTGCTCAGATATGATGACATAAGAGTAACAGATTCATTATTTTCAAATCAATATTTTAGCTTTGATGATCTCGTTTATCATTCAACATATCTGGTAAGGCATTCGGAAGCTTGAAGTTTTGGGAGTGAGAAATAGAGAATTCTGTTTTGGAGAAGCTTACAAAAAAGACCAAAAAATTTGCAATGAACTCACTAATGATTCCAGACAATCAAGATATTTTACAAAATAAATAAGAAATAAAAGTTCCTGCATCCTGGAAATGGAAGAATCTATCACATGGATCGCAAAGGTTGATTTTTAATTTTGATATCAAGGAAAACATTTTATGCGGATAATAGTATTAACAAAACAGGGTGGTTCGCTTACAGACGATTAAACTTTATAAGGCGCAAATCTAGAGCGGAAGCTTTGAAATATGTACAGGCGGTCCGAAACTTACACGCATATGTACAGTTTGTCGCGAGCAACTAATTTCTAAGCAGTATTTACATGCTCGTTTCCACGCGAAAGGTTGTCTCGAATCCCTTTGGTCGTGTATTTAAAAATAAAAACAATCAGGGCGTTGTTTTTATTAGCAAATGCACCCCGATATTCTACGAAGCTTGCAACTTAATTGCAATATTTCTATAGCCATTCGAATCAAGCGACATCTAAAGAAAAACACGGCGGTTCGGGGCGAGCCCTCCTCACAAAGGAAAAGGTATAAAATTTCAAAAATTCAAAAAACGACACCGTCAAAAAGGACACTTTTCTGCTAGCTTCTTGCGGGAGATGAAATTGCAATTCAAGCCCCCGCGGCAAGGCTCTTTACTAACCAAACTAGGTAACCGGTTTCTTTATTATTTAGGAAAAAACGTATTTTTATAGTGCGACATGCTGACGCAGCTTTGTTTTAATTGTTTTCCAAATTACCGTTAAGAAAACTTCTCATTGCTGATGACAGTTCCTATCTTTAAAATGGACATTTTAAAAAAAAGTTTTTAGCAGAAATAGACAAGGAGAAATCACTCAATTCGTCGCTAGAGGCGCCAAATCGTAATCGTTTCCGCGACAATTAAACGGGATCCAATTATTTTTCACGGCGCGCTCATTAAGGTCTCGGAAGTTGGTGTCGCGTGCCTGGGGTCGACACGGGCTGCGCGTGACGAGCTGGCAACAGCGCGTTACGGTCGTCATCTGGCCCGGAGTGTACAAGCCAGGACAGGCAGTCACCGCCAATGACAAATATGCATCGGGATACGGTCCAAGGATTATGAATGTGTGCCATTTGGTTTCTGGTTCCGCTCCCGCATTCCAGAAAATTACGCAAATAGCTCCCGAGGGAATAAAGCGACGCGGCGTCAAGAAATGGGGTCACGAGCGGCCCTTAAATACCCGGCGGTCGCGGCCATTGTTGGAGCGATGTAATTTTCAATGACGGTTTTGGCGACAC